ATTCGGGCAGCGAGAAGAATTTGATATTTGAGGTATTAGTGCAGAAGTTGGGTCTGAAGACGGTCAAGCATCTGAAGCCCTATCCATTGGGGTGGATTCAGAAGGAGGAGAAACTGAGTGTAGTTGATCAATACACTGTCATATTTGTGCTCCACGAGTCGTATATTGACGAGGTCACGTGCGACGTCGTTCCATTGGATGTTTGTCAGATTATACTGGGCAATCCATACTTATGGGATAGATATGCGATCTACGAGAGGCGGGCTCAGAAGTATACCTTCACTAAGGATGATGAAAGGTTCATATTTTGTTCGGCATCTCTTCCGAAGGAGACAAGCTTGGGAGCGGTGACGCGAGCGAAGAGATTAGTGAATACAAGCAAGAAGTTTGTCTCGCTATGCATTAGACTTCCAGAAAAGTCATCGACAAAGGATTACAATTTAGAGCGAACAGTGACTATGACGAGACGCGGGACGAATGAGTTATTTCCGATCGGACGTCGAGACCGGATTCCTAGTAAGGCCAGGTGGTGCAGAAAAGATGGAGGAGCTCGAGAGTTTCCTCAGCAAAGGTTCTAACTTGAATGGGACTTCAAGTTCTTAAAGAGAGGACCCATGATACAGGTGTATCTTCTCTTCGGAACTTAGCGATCCTCATGCGAGCTTGAGGATAGATGATTCTCATGATAACATGAGAATAGAGGTGTCAAACAGTATAAGGGAACGCAGGAGGAAGCGTAAAATGAGACGACGATCAGAAGAATCGAAGTATCCAGTTTTTAGCCTGTGAGTCGACTCATAACAGTCATGAGTCGACTCATCAGGTTGAGTCGACTCATGAGTACCCAGTTTTTAGCCTGTGAGTCGACTCATTACAGTCATGAGTCGACTCATCAGGTTGAGTCGACTCATGACTGTCATGAGTCGACTCATCGCTGATTTTTGAGTTTTGTCCAGTTTCTGACGATTCGACTCATCTCAGTCATGAGTCGACTCATCGATGGTTTCTTGGTTCGTTTGAGTTTCTGTTCACACGAATTCTTGTTGGTTTTGGGTCTGGTTATTTACCAAATTACCATCCACGTTTGTACTTCTGTTCACACGAATTCTTGTTGGTTTTGGGTCTGGTTATTTACCAAATTACCATCCACGTTTGTACACCTATATAAAGGATTGTTTTACCAAATTACCATCCACGTTTGTACACCTATATAAAGGATTGTTTTAGGGTTTCTAAACAATCAGAGAGTTTAATCAAGAGAGATTAAATTGTAATTGAGATTTGGAGAGCCTATTCTTCAATTCTAGAGTGAGATTGTGAGAGTTGTAAATTACATACTCATAATCTAGAGAAGGTATTTTCCTTCGCCCAAAACCTGAGTTATTCTTGTATTCTTATTATTTTCTCCTTTACCTACCTTTGATAATTCTGCGATCAAAGGTGCTCGTACGGCAACTCGTATCAACTATACTCTTCCTATCAAAGTTACCCGCAAAATTGATCAACTATGTAGGGACTTCTTATGGGGGAAAACCAACCAGTCTTCTAAAATGCCTCTTGTTGCTTAGGAAAATGTTTGTATGGGTAGAAAGAGGGGAGGTTTAGGTGTTTACTCTGCTACAACTTGGAATTTGGCGGGAACTTTAAAAATCCTTTGGCAAATCCATACTAACAAGGAGTCTCTTTGGATCAAGTGGGTTCATGGGACTTACTTGAGACTCAATGATATATGGCATGTGTTGCAAAAAGTAGTGACTCTTGGATGTGGAAACAAATGATGAAAGCAAGAGATAGAGCTGCTCTCTCTTGTGGTGGGATTAATAATCTGTTACAATTGCTGAATGTTTGCTACAGTAATTCAAAGTTTCATATCTCAGCTTTATACCATGCTCTGTTACCAGTTACTCAGCAAGTGACATAGCATTGCACTGTTTGGGATCAAATGTGCTATCCTAAACATTCTTTTATAAGTTTGTTTGCTGTCTTGAATAAATTACTTACCAAAGACAAATTGATGAAGAGAGGGATAACAAATGTTGGTTCATGCTGCTTGTGTTCAGGAACTGGACTGGAAAACAGAAATCATCTATTCTTTTCTTGTAGCTACTCTTCAGAGGTCTGGAATGGCATAATGTGTTGGCTTCAATTTACCTGGAAATCATGTGAGTGGAATCTTATCTTGGAATGGTTTTGTACAAAGCTAAGAGAGAAAGGTTTCAAGCAAGGAATCAAAAGAATGACATTTACTGCTGTAATTTACAGTATCTGGACTAAGAGAAATCTTAGAATTTTTCAACAGGAGCAAAGAACTGCAGCTCAATTGATTAAGAGAATTAAGATGGACATTCTATCTGTTGTCCTTAATTCACAAATTCAGGAGGAGAATCGGGACTGGTTACTATCTTTGTGAAACCTGAGGCTGAAGCTATTCCCTGCAGTTTCTAGCTTTGAAGCTCCTCTCTGTAGATAATATTGCTCTACTGTGGAGATTTGTGCACATGTCTGGTTGTGTACAGGTCTATCTGGTTGTGTACATGATTATCTGATTCAGATAATATTGTTGGAATTATACATGAGTGCCTGGTTCAGATCGATTATCAGTAAGGAACTATACAGAAAAGAAGAAGCTACTACTTGGAGTTGGCTCAAGAGAAAATTTTGAGGATATGCACAATGGTTGTGTGCATGTTTTGTAATCTATTTCTTAGTTTTTGCTATAGCTCAGTCTTGAGCATTAGCTATACGTTTTGGTTTGTTATCTCAATTACATCTACATGTTCTTGAGATTCTTGATGTACAAAACTTTAAATATTGGAGATGAATAAAATTATATATATATATATATATATGATTCTAAGGAGCCACCATAGATTGAATCTAAGAATGCACCTCTTGACGCATGGATTGAGCTATTTTAATTGATGATCCGCTCCATTCGTCATAATCTTAATATCTTAAAATATCTGTAAAATAAAAATCATGGTGATTCAATGCATCTAACACATATTTTTCATTTTCACTTTAGTTGTATTGTCATACCACCATTAATTTTATAATCAGTTAATGCATGAGTAACTATAATCCAATATGCCTATATAGGATTATATAGGCATATAATCCACCCCTAGCAAATGGGCTTCGCTAGTGATTCTTTGCATTTACAATTGCAAGTAAAATGCCAAAAAAATCACTGAATTATTAGACGATCTAATTTAGAGCATGCTTATCAACTAGGTCAAAGTGGATGATAACCCACTTTTGGATGTTTAATAACCATATTTTGAGTACATCATTTTGAATTGTAACTCCTAAATTATATTTTTGATGGATTATAATCCACGTGTCTGAGCGAGTAAAAGCAAAAATGTTCAGCACACTTTACATCTCTTTATTTCTCTATATTTCACTACCTCCAAGTATTAAAGGATTTCTACATTATTTTACAAAAAAATACGTAGATTATAACCCAAATGGATTCTAATCTAAAATTGCCAAACACTACTCAATTGTCATGGTTACATCGGTTCGTGGGGGACCGCGTAGGCGTTTTCTATCAGTCAAGGGTCGTCCATTCGTGCACCACATCATTATCCTAGGGACCCACTTTTAGTTAATGTAACTCTTTGTGGGTGTACGTTATTTGGTCCCACTGGTACATGGCCCTCAGCATTTTGGATTTAGAGACTCGAAATGACCACAATCTCCCCAGTCCACCAGCACGCTTTTGGTACACAACATTCCTTAGATTCAGGGGTAAAATCGTCATCCGTGACGATGCGCGGGTCCCTTTGATTCAGCGGAACATTTTAAATAGAAATGTTAGGGGTACACCCGAAGTCACACCTCCAACCACACCTCCCCTTTTCATTCGCTACAGTATTCCGGGCCCCACATGAGTTTTTTAAAAACTCATGTGGGGCCCGGAGTACTGTAACGAATGAGAGGGGATGTGTGGTTGGAAGTGTAGTTTGGGGTGTGCCCCTAACACCACTCCATTTTAAATGTGAAAGAAACACGTGGACAAAGGAGATGGTTCTAGCGTTGTCCCTGCCTAGTGCTCTACTCAAAAAGTAGCGGTCGAAGTGACAAAACAAAACTTCAAATCCCATCGCCATTGTGAGATATGAAATCTCATCTTTTCTGCAGGAATTCAAAAGAATAAAAACAATAATGATGAAGAGCATTTAGATTCCAGCTATCGTGATGTTTAAGATAAATATTATATATATATAATATTTAAAGTCAGCGACATACAGATGTAAATATGTTTGCATGTAAAAGAATCGTCTCATATGTTTTACGCTACGCAATATTCGCATAAATTTTGAGAATTTTTTATTCTTATC